CTAACAGTCTTTACTCCAATCAAAAAGGTTCGAATGAGCCGAGATACTAGCATTTGAAAATCAAGGTCGAAAAGCGCAAGAACTTTCTTCACAAACTAATACATGGTGCTGCAGAGGCAGCAGGAGGGCAGCGGAAGGAGAAAGGGAGGTTGGGGAGGAGAGGTAAAAATTCAACCGTCATGCCCTGATCATGGCGATGCGTTCCACTACATGAAACTACTTTTTGTTTCATACACGTCATCTCCTTAAGATGGTGGTGTGCCAAATACACGCATGCAACGAAAAATTATAAGCGACACGCAATTTCGAGTCGCTTAGAATGAACACGCCAAAAATAGCCAAAAATAACGTTAAGTAACGTTCACTGTTCAATAATGAATCGTGAACATCTGCCAAATGTCAGAAATTCCTTCGTTGGCACTTATACGGGCCTTGAAAAGCAGTGAGGAACGATCGACGCATGGTGGCACGCAAGGTGGTGCGTGGAACCCGTTCTACGTATTCTGAAGCAACTCTCCAGAATAATCCCAAAAAATGTGAAGTTCCATGCAATCTTTAGCTCACAGAATCAATTCCACAGTGTAACCCATTTATATTGAATCTGAAATGCTGGCCTGCTCGTTGAAAGTGATGAATTCGACAAAATTGGCTCTGCACCAGCCTTATGGAAATCCCTTCCTTATGAAAGATCCAACAATGTTTTTTCAAATCTTAAGATGGCAATTTGCTTGGGAATTCTCAAGTAATCTCCTTAATGTCCATCTCTCGTGACATTCGGCGGAACGAGTGCGCGAAGTGCCACCAAATTCTGTTGCGCACCATGCTGACATTGCTCGTGGCCGTCTCGGAAACACGGCCTTCCCATCCAGAATGAGTGCATTCGGTTCCTTATTCCTTGGAGCGTTTAGTGGATCCATGATTGGTACCCAGATAAAAACCAAAACGCTGATAACTCTTGCATGCCGGAAACTCAATTTCAGTGATTACAGGCCATCGTAACAGTCATACATGTTGGTTTTCAACTAAGGTAATTATGAACAGCTCAACTCAGCGAAACCAAAATGAGCGCGGTAATAAACACAACTTTGAATAGTGCTTCAATAGTGCATGCGCAGTGTTGCGGATGCGACGGCCCATTCGCGCTCTTATGCCAATGCAATGCGCCCATTGCGCCATTGGCTCCGCCCCTACGGTCGGTGCCAGCCGTTGTTCGCCTACTATCACCGCGCTGAGCGGTCGCGTCCACGCTGTCTGCCTAGCTGCCAGGTAAGTCATTGATAGTTGTGCAACCCTTTGCAGCTGAGGTCCCTGCTTTGGAACGGGTACTACGTTGTCCCAAGGCTGGCATCCGGTGGCAGGTCGGTCTTCACCGGGCAACGCGATGAGGCCAGCTAAGGCGAAGGGGCACGTCGCCCCTGAGTCCATGCTGGTGGAGCGCCTGTCATACCAAAGCCGGTCGTGTTCCACCCCTGCTCCCCGTCTGGGAGCAGCCTGCCCCAGCGAGGACACGCCGACCGTAAGGTGCCCATAGAAATGGTCCCGAGCGGGATGGGGGTCTAATACGTGCAGTCAGCTGGCCTGGTCTGCCCTTGAGCGAGGTGGCCGAGGGAGATCAGAGGTGATGGTAAGTTATTGCGTATAATAAATGTATTGTTTATATGTTGTATTTATGTTCATGTGGGTTTTGCCCTAATTCTATGTGTTCATTGTATATGTTGTTTGCGCCATGGTTGGCAAGGGTTTGGCGCCCTTGGTTCTGATCCGGGAGCTGCGGGAGGCAGTAGGGACCCGTTAGGAACCCCATGGTCCCCGAGGGGTTGGTCCGCTTCTCCTGCGGGGTGCGCAGGAGAGGTGTTGTGGACCCGATGGAAAGTCCTTGGACCGAAAGGTTCGAGGCGTCAGGAGTTGCTAGGCAGAGCCCACCGATGCGGATCGCAATAGGCTCAAGCCCCGTTTGCGACACGCAGCCGTTGTCGCCATAATTTTGGCGCACCCTGTAGAAGCGTCCACAGCGGAAGAGGTAAAGTATACGGGGAAGGAAGGTACCGGCGGTTGACTTGGACAGTCCCGACGGTTCACGGGGACAATCTGATGTTGAAAAAAAGCAAAACACAGAATCCTCTGAGGAAGAACCCGTAACCCCTTCTTTGAAAAGCAAGACCGTTACCAATTGCGCTACTGAGACCCACCACATCGTTTCTTCGGTTATGCATTTGTGACTTTCATAAGGCTGCTTTCATAGTTCGCATCGGTGCGGTCGGTGCCGACGGTGCCGACGGCGCCGACCGCACCGACAGTGTGAAGAGCGTCAATACGCGCTCTGGCGCATGACGCGTACGTTGGGCGCAGATGGCGCGCTCCGATCGATAATCTTGGTTTTGGTGTATTTCTTGTGCTTTTCGATGTTTTTTTTTCGCGCCGTGTTGCTTTTATTCGTGTGTTTTCTGTTCATACTTATTCTTTTATGTCTTGATTCATACTTTTCAGTTGTTCCGCGGACGAGCGACTTCGTAGAACCCCGTCGTACTACCCCGAGTGGCTATACTGGGTGAGTTCATCATAAGCAATTTTGTTTATTCGAGTGGACTCTATAATTTTAGAAGTTGCTTTTTCTTCGATACGATTTCCTGCTGGTGTGCGAAAGGCCGCCGGATCTTGGTAATTTAATTATTCGCACACCAGCAGGAAATCGTATCGAAGAGAAAGCAACTACTGGAAACATACAGTTCACTCGAATAAACAAAATTGCTCATGATGAACTCACCGGGTCTTGAAGCCACGTTCACACGGGGTTGTACGACGTCGCTCGTCCGCGGAACAACTGAAAAGTATTCATCAAGACATATAAAAGAATAAGTATGAACAGAAAACACACGAATAAAAGGAAGACTGCGCAAAAAAACATCGAAAAAGACAAGAAATACACCAAAACCAAGATTATCGATCGGAGCGCGCCATCTGCGCCCAACGTACGCGTCATGCGCCAGAGCGCGTATTGACGCTCTTCACACTGTCGGTGCGGTCGGCGCCGTCGGCACCGTCGGCACCGACCGCACCGACCGCACCGGCGCGAACTATGAAAGCAGCCTTAGGTTGCGACGTGCGACGTGGTTGACGTGATTTAGCCAGCAATTACATCATATCTGACTATTTGAGTGATAAGTTAAGTTTGGGAGTTTCATAGGGGTGAGAAGAAGTCGGACGAATGCGGGAAAAAATTGGCCGACACGCGATACGCGTCACATTGTTCCATGTGACCCGCAGGGTGGGATGCTGTCATGAGTGCGTCAAACTTAGACGATTTGGGTTTCAGGTTTCATGACGAGTACCATTTTTGCTTTTGACATTCTATATTGGCGCGAGTTTGCGGCCACAATTTTTTCCGACAAATTCATTGAGAACGCCGTAACGAGTTCCTGATGATGGACCACGAATCGACGCCCATTTCTGCATCTTTTGTTCTCCTTTCATTGTAGAAACTTCTGCTGGATGTAAAACATTATGGGCAAAAATTTGTGTGCCGACAGGGGGGATCTACGACTTACTGCCTGTTGAGCTAGAATTGTATCACTTTTCCACTATTCGCCACATTGCTCTAGGTTATTCTGTGAACAGCGTGCACCAAACACCGTTTTTACTGTCTTCGACCGCTCACAAAAAGTTCGCGTAGGAGTTTTAGTGCCTATATTTACAACCTGTCCCTGGTCAAGCTTACCCGCAGTAAAATAGCATGGTATTGTACTTTTCGATGTTGTGACCGTTTCCTATATGTGTTCAGTAACCCTTTGGCGACAATGGCACCCACCGGTGGGTGCCACTATGACCGTCGCGTGGGACAATGGCACCCAATGGTGGGTGCCACCCTAAAATTTTCTTCTTTACCCATTTAAAACATTTTCAACATATCAGTAATTATAAGCTCCGTTACGCCTATGTTTAGCATATTTTGCAGAAATGTTTGTTACTAGCTAATTTATATGAAATTTTAGGATATGGCACTTCGCTCGGCGATGTATTAACTAGTGTTTTACATTATTAAGCTTAAGGTGAATTACAGATCAGGACCTCTACGTCTTTTCACAGTCTTAAGACACAAGGAGGAGTTTGAACTATATCAAAAATTCTACTGTACATTTGAACTTCTAGAGTTTTCAAACACCATCCCTTTGAAATCCGAGATTTCTTTCCAAACTTCCACTTCTAATTCCAACAATACATGATCATAAAGCTTAAGACTGCAGTCATATTTTGTTTATTGTCATAGTCAAAATTTTGATAGAAAAACTGCTTTTAGGGACAATTTTGCCCCATTTTGTGCGAGAGTTGGGCGCGCCAAAAAGAGGCGTGGTCCCACGAGCACGCTACGTGCAAATCCGCATTGTCGTCAAAGGGTTAAGTATGAATCTTTCGCAATCTTTCATATTCGCGCAGAACTGCCACACAAAATGATTGTGGAGTGCTTCTCCAAGTCACAATAGATCCTTATTTAACGTTAAGGAGGTGGTTTGTAATTACATATACCAACATGTGTGCGCCGTTTGAACTACGAATGTTTATTCTTACTGTACAAGCATCGTTCTTCTAACCCTAGTGGGAACAATACGCGTAGATACAATGGCTAGTAGGAAAATACCTTTTCGGTAGTGAACAAGTGGCATAATTATACGTATATACAAGAGATATAGTGGTTATCTTCGACTGCTGTCAGTCGGTGCATATCTCACTATCCGAATGAAATGATGAGTAAATCGACACCTCAATCAATTGCGATGAGAACATCCTCAAAAAATGGGTGGCACATGGATTCTGCGTTCAAAGAACAATGAAAAGTATCAAAAAATTGAGAAATGGACAATATTGGGTTGTTAAGGACGAACATCATCTGACTGAGTGCAAGAGAAAAATCACCGGGATACGCTTAGGAAACTCGAGAGGTGAGCTGATGAGTGCACGTGTTGTCGATGTGCTTACGACGTCTTCACAAAATAGCTGCAGACCGATCAATTATCGATTGAATGCCGCCGCGCTTGAAGTGGACTGGAAAAGGGATAAATAATTATGTAAAATTGGGATTTTCGATTAGCTGCTCCTGGGCTGCCAGTCGTTGTTGCAGTACACAGAAGTGAGAAATTCAATGGACATTAGGCAACTGATACTGATGGTCGAGGAGCAGCACACCCAAAGTGGACAGACCACAGAACAATCGACACCGGACCTGTGCTGAAGCACATCAGCGGCAACAAATCAACACTTTGCAGACAGTTCCGGAGAAACTTATGGAAAGCATAGGTGTTCGTGAAAAACCTGTATGATTCATGTGGCATGTAATTGAGTTTTGGGGCAGAAAAAAGGCAAATAAGGATTTAAATTTGGTTACGGATTTAGAGACTTCATTTTCCTAACTCCAGTCTATTTCACAACCCCATTTCGCTGCATCCCCTTTTTCGCAAACATACAATGCGCGACGCATTGACGCGCTGAAGCGTGAGCTCGTCAGAGTGAATATCGCTCGAAGAATCCTCGACAGGGGGTCGGACTTGTCGGGGTGGGTCATGGGGGTCGTGCTCAAAGAGGTCAGTAACATCAATGAACATGTGGTGCAGATAGAAGTGAGTGGGTGTCTCCTCTATACTCTCCGTATTCTGAGATTTAATTCAGTCCTAATTCTCAGTCATTGTCTAATGGGTGTAGCCGCTCACCGCCGTACTTCTTTACACCCCCCTTAAATCCACCCAGGTGTCTGCGATTTGTCCACAAAGTGTAGATTTCGAAGATTTGTTCATTTTCGAAAACTGAATTTTTATGTGTGATACATTTAATGTGATACAATGTGATACATTGTACGCTGCAAGACGTGGTTCCACAAGACCTCTTATATAAGGAAGGAATACAACAAGATTTCGGACCCAATTTCTTCCAGTGAGAAGCGAGCAAAACAGTTCCTCTGAGGTTTGTAGAAGTTCCGCCCAGAATTCATCAAAAACAAAAAACAGAAGTTTCTTCAATGTTGCAAATCATTTCGCGTGACAGTAATATTACCAAGCACGATCATGAAAGGCGACCCGTTTGTAAGAGGTTTCGGGGATCTAAGAAGATTCATTTGAACGCATTGGGTGGGTCTACGAGAGAATATCTGTGAATGTGTTGGAGGGAAATATCCATTTTTTCCAGGCATTCAGTTGGTGGTTCTTCAGCAGAGCGCCAGAAGTTCTCCGGGGGG